CTCGGCTTCTGCAGTAATCTCAAACCCAAGGTTACCCACTTCAGGCCTAACGACCGTTGCGCTGTAGAGGAACCTGTGAAGCGACAATCCAGAAAAGAACGAGCAGCAACAGTGGGAAAACGGGAGGCCCGCCGGAGGGAGGCCAAGGCTGCAGCTTGGGAACGCAACCTTCGTACTTACATGAACTTTGATCTTTGAACCCTTTTGGGACATTTGGTGATCCTGATAAGGGCATATCCAGCTATGAGTTACACATCATAATAAAGCATATCTTAATCATAGTTTATTTAATATGTTGACATTGGTTCTGGGTACTGTAACAGTCTTGGCTACTTTGTTATTTAACGTGTAGTGTCACCAGCCATTGAATCTTTGACCTCTTTTTGGTCTAATTCAGCCTTTCTCAACTGTGGCAACTTTGAAGTGTGTGGACTTCAACTCCCAGGATTCCCATACTGGCTGGGGAATTCTGGGAGTTGAACTCCATACATCTTAAAGTTGCCAAGGTTGAGAAGCATTGGACTAATATGTAGCAGAGAACAGAATGAATCAGGGAAGAAACCCATAGGAGGAGCAGGAGTAACTATGACTCTCTTTCATGGGTACACCGCCTGGGCACTTCCTTGTAGCGACCGCTGGAGAAGGTGCAGGCACGTTATATGCCCCCCTGTACCCGAACTAAGACCCAGGGCACCCCCGTCGGGCCAACCACCTAGCAGGGGGTTTACTGCTGGTTACAGAACGTATAAGGAAAAAGGGTCCTGGCCCCTCCGGACTTCAGGACTCCAGCAGTATAGATGGAAGCACTAGTGTCACATGTCCCCAAACCGGTTCACTGAGTATTGTGTTCGCATGCTCCTGTGGCCGTCAGTTTTCCACCAAGCGGAGCCTGAGCACGCATCGACGACACTGTCAACCTGTCGAAGTTAACATCGAACACGTAGCCGCTTTTCCTACTAAGTGCCTGATGTGGTCCTGGGAGGATGATGAAGCCCTGCGTCGGCATTCTGACCATCTCTGGAAGACTGGGATGCTTAACAAAGAACTTTATACACTTCTGCTCCCGCACTTCCCTGGCCGTTCACAGGAAGCTGTCAAGAAGCACCTCCAGACCATCAAGTGGGTCCCACCATCTGACCCTGCATCTGTTTGCCATCCTCTGCCAGAGGTGGGCACCAAGACTACTACTGTTTCCGGATCAGACCCCGCTGGCACCGTTATCTGCCTCTACATCAGGTCTGGCTCCAACCCAGCAGCTACCTGGATGACCATTCTCCTGGAAGTGGCAGCTGCGAATCTGAGAGAAGCCAAGATGGGGGCCAATGAATTGAGCAAGATTGCCCGAGATCTACTATCTCGAGAGATTAGCCAGTCACGGGGCAGGGCCCTCCTTCAAGATCATGCCCAACACTGGTTTCCCCACACAAGGAGACCATCGAAACCCCGTCCGACAGATACGACTCATCACTGGAGCAAACGTTCCACTCGTAGAGCCAATTATTCCAGCATTCATTTGTCTCGGTCCACCACCTCTCTGTCATCGTTTCTAACTGGGGACTGCTTTACAAACCATCCGGCGTTGGGCTACAGACTTTGGGCTTGAGCCGCAGGGACTGCATGGACATTGGTCTCCTAATCATCGCAGGCTCGCTCAAATGTTACGATGTTTACATGCGTGGAACTGGGAAAAGTTGAGTCCGGACCTTGGGTGACATGTGATTAATGACACTGCCATAAGTGGTGACTCCACTAATGTGGCCATCTTTAGCTAATTTTCGCTCTCCGAGAGGTTCACCCCTCTGATAATTTATGATACCCTTGCCAAGGTTGAGAAGCGTTGGACTAATATGTAACAGAGAACAGAATGAACCAGGGAAGAAACCCATAGGAAGAGGAAAGAAGAAACGACTGGTTCTTTGACTTTATACCAGGAGTCTTCAAACTTGACAGCTATAAGACTTCAACTCCCAGAATTCCTCCTCTAGTCATGTTAGTAAAGGAATTCTGGGAGTTGAAATCCACAAGTCTTAAACTTGCCAAGTTTGAAGACCCTTGCTTTATACGGTTTAATATATGTGTCAGATCCGTGTGTCATTTCTTCAGTGGAAGAAGAAAAAGGGGGGGAGGCTGATAAAGAAATCCTTTCTTGATGTAACCTGAATATATTTAATCTTATATCGAATTTGTATAACCCACACATGATACGATGGAGGGAGAAAAGCCAGATGGCCAGAACTATCACCTCTGAGAGGTACAACCAGGAGATGAGAAGGTCATAAAAATTCCACAGTGAGATTGTACTTTGGGAATCTCTTGAATAGTTCCTTCTAACAAGAGGGGTGGGGAGGAGTTAACATACTGGCTTTTGTTTCATTAAATACACATCGAGATAAGGGGAGGGGTCTAAACTCCCTTATCTATCCCTGTATGCCTGAGAGACCTCAGACTGCTTTGAACTCCTACAGGGATTGTCTCATCTCCATAAAGAATTCCTTTGTGATACGTTTGGATACGTTTTCAGAAGTTCATTCTAGTTGAGTGAATGGGAGAAGTTCTGTAGCCTGACAATATGCTTTACATGCCTTGAAAATGAATAAACAATAAACGTCACAATCTGAACTATTTTGTGGATTTGAGGATGAAAATTAATGTGCAATAGGAACAAGTGGATTGACCCACTTCAACTACTTGGAACAACTACATTCTTTAACTGGAACTCATAGATTATAAACCACTTAGAACTGGAAGAGTAGGTAATATATACAGTACCTTTTGATAGCATGCATCCTATAGACATCCAAATGTTTTTTTACACTGTTTGATAAGAACTTCAGATTGCATAAAATAAAGAGCATGAATCTGAAAATTATCATTTCAAATAGGTAAATTGAGATGATAGGGAAAATGGAATGTGTTGTTATTAGTTGCCAACCCATTGCATGTCCGACCCATCGCGACCCCATGGACAACGTTCCTCCAGGCCTTCCTGTCCTCTACCATCTCCTGGAGTCCATTTAAGCTCACGTCTACTGCTTCAGGGACTCCATCCAGCCACCTCATTCTCTGTCATTCCATTCTTCTATTGCCCTCAATCTTTTCCAGCATTGGGCTCTTCTCCAGTGAGCCCTTCCTTCTCATTAGGTGCCCAAAGTATGGAATGGAATATATCTCTGCTAATATGAATGGTAAAAATAGGGTAAGAAAATGGAAGAATGAGTAAGTTCAAGACATGCAAGTGTAGAAAATGGTCAACATGTTCTCGGTTGCCACATAGAAAAATAGAGATGCAGTGAATTGTGTTGATGTAAAGTACTTCAGTTATATTTTCTATTCTCTTTCTCCTCCCCTTCAGTCATTTAGTTTCTTGGGTTTACTGTTTCGTATTCCTTTTTTGTGTTCTACACAATCCTGGCTGTCCAAAAGGAAACAGTACATAGATTTGTGTTTTTGTCTGCTTGAACCCCCACCCACACAAGAATATGCTATTTCAAACAACAATGGTTTGGAAGACATCTTCAGCATGAATCCCCCATCTTATATTACTACTAATTTTCACATTTCGTTTTGGCAGATATTTATAAGCAGATATACTGAGATAATCCCAAACCCATGTCTTTAGGACAACCATATTTGGATATATTTTTTTAAAAAAACACAGGGTGACCAATAGATGGCAGTGGTGTGAATATATTTTTTCCCTTTATCAATTTGCTCCTGTGTGCTATTCATCTCATTTTGCAGCCAGGTTATAATAGCCTACAGAAAAATTAGAAAGTGATTCAAACACACAGGAGCTTTCTAATTCCCATTCCTTTCATCTCACAATATGTTCGCTTGCTGGGAAGGGTGGAGACTGACCTTTTAATACATCTGGACTGGAGGGGATTACGATTCGAGAAAGTTACAGCATTGCGGCTCCTACCACTCTCTGCTTCTTTCCTTCCCTCCCCAACCGCCTGCTTTGTGCTTCCAGCTCTGGTTTCCTAGCCGGACTCTTAAACGCCGAACACCAAATACGGGCATGATCAAACCCTCGCTGATGTTTAGAGAACTGCTTGAAAGCACTTCCGCCCTTACTTGCCTCTTCCATTTCCTGTACGAACGCCGGACGCTTTTGTGTATCGACTAGAGATTTGCTAAAGTAATCTCGATTTATGGAAGAAGGGAGGACGTATTAAAGGAGAGGGATGCTCTACGGTGGGAGGAACAGAAAAGGAAAGGGGAAGAAATTAACTCACTGGGAATCAAGTTGGGGGTAAAGAAAAGGTGCATTTCAACGAACTAAATGCAGCGCAAATAATGCTGTGCTTTCAATGAGCCACCCGGACTTGCAGAAGAACAAGATGAACGTTTGATCGAAACTCGCTTGGGGGAGGTGAGTGTGCCATAACCTTTTCGGGAATGGTAATCGGATTAACACACAGGGAAGGAAGCGGTGGTTTAGATCTTCAGGCTGGATTATTTATTTATTTTATTTATTTATTTAGTTGGTTAGCTAGTTTGTCAAGCATGCATAAGAAAACAAGTATAAGTATGAACATAACATATAAACATATAAGTATAAACAGGTATAAGTATATACATAATAAATGAGTACAAATGAATGGGAACAGTAGGACAGGGACGGTAGGCACGCTGGGACGGTAGGCACGCCCCCTTACAGGCCTTAGGAACTGAGTGAGGTACACAGTAGGTTAAAGTTTAACTTTAAGGTTAAAGTTTTGGGGGTTTGAGGACGTAACAACTGTCAGGTAGTGAGTTACAGGCATTGACCACTCTGTTGCTGAAGTCGTATTTTCTGCAATCGAGTTTGGAGTGGTTTTCTTTGAGGTTGTATCTATTGTTTGCCCATTATCACTTGTGAGCAAGGAAGTGGTTCGAATTGGACATCAGTTCGAAAGTACAATTCAGTGTACTTTTTCAACCCTTTTACAAATAGGATGACAACCAGAAGCATAAAAGCACGTTTCCTTTCCGTGCCAGATGTTCCCCCTCTCCAGTCCCTGTTCACGCTGATTTACACAGGTGTATAGCTAGGTATCATTTCATTGCCTTCATTGTCATTGCTAAGGCTGGCAGTTATTGGATTCTTCTACTTTACCCCCCTTCATACATCATATGTCTATGTTAATAAGCTGTCTTATCAAAAGTGTTTTACTGTTATAATAAACTAGAGGTTATCAAAGTTTATATATCTATGTGCCTTAGCTAGCATCCTTTATGTCCTTCTAACTTGTAACTTTCTTGTTACTAGGCAGTAGTGTCCCACCATTTGTTACACACATTGCAGCTGCAACTTTCTGCCTCAGCAATTCTTTTTAACAAACTTTCCTAATTCCAACCTCAATCATTCTCTCTCTCTCCCTCTCCCTCCCTCCCTCTCTCTCTTTCTCCCTCCTTCTCTCCCTCTCTCTCCCTCCCTCTCTCTCTCTTCCTCCCTCCCTCTCCCTCCCTCTCTCCCCCTCTCCCTCTTTCACTCCCTCTCTCTCCCTTTCTCTCTCCCTCCCTCTCCCTCCCTCCCCCCTCTCTTTCACTCCCTCTCCCTCCCTCCCTCTCTCTCTCCCTCCCTCTTTCCCTCCTTCTCTCCCTCCTCTCTCCCCTCTCCCTCTCCCTCACTCCCTCTCTTTTTCCCTCCTTTCTCCTTCCCTCTCTCTCCCTCCCTCTTTGTCTCCCGCTCTATTCCCCCCTCCCTCCCCCCTTCACTCTCTCTCTCTCACACACACACAAACTTTAGACCGCAGATATATCTAATATTGCTGCCAATTGTTTTCATAAGGTCGGTTGGGCTCAGACAGGGATTGATATTGTATTTTCCCCAGGCTCGTGGGTGAGCATCTCCTTCCGTTGCCCACCTGGTTCCATGGCATTGAAGTACCAGCGCCGGTTATGGCGCTACGTGGAACAGGGCCGCCGTCACAAGTTGCGCAGGCTCCTGCGGCATCACAGAGAACTCTTGGACCTGGGTGAAACGAAGGGACACAAAAAACACACACCCTTGCACCGATGCTGTGCCCACCTGGACCACAAAGCTGCCCTCCTTTTGCTGAAGTACGGGGCAGACCCCTCTCTCCCAGACCACCGTGGAGACACAGCTCTGCATTTGGCTGCCCGGCGCGTAACACGTGGAGGAGATCATGGTGAGACGAAGCTTTAGAACTTTGTTTTGCTGCTTAGTTAAAATATAAGGACGCCTGCATCAAAAAAAAAAAAATGGAGATCTCTCATCTACTGTACTATATGGAGATAGTGAGTACCAATAGGACAGATTGTCTATTGCATAAATTAATGTTCTGTATTGTTCCGAGATAGGATAGAACAGAATAACAGAGTTGGAAAGAATCTTGGAGATGCCCTTGGGTGCAAAGGATTCATCCGGGAACCATTCCTATTTTTTGCTCAGTTGGGTGGGAACCATGAGGCCCTCATTGGAATCAATGGTAGAAGCTTCATTTGAAGCAATATTTATCCATTTGGTTAGTTATTAAATGTACGTACAGAATTACATTTCATTTAGGAACTGAAACTCAAAGCACGTAGTGCTTTTTCACATTTTTTCCAAACAACAATCTTATTATGCCTCCACATGATCCAGATTCCAACTGTGAAGATACTTACTGGGTGACTTTTGGTTTGTCAGGCCCAGCCTAGCCAAACATTCATTGCAAGGTTGTTAATTGGGGTGATAAAAGATTAAAAATAACATGATTGGAGACTCCCATTCTCTCCCAATGAAATGTCTTGAAGCACTAGAGAAAAAGTGAGCTACTGATAGTCCGTAACTTACAACCATTTGTTTAGTGACTGTTGGAAGTTATCACAGCAGTGGAAAATGTGACTTAGTCTTCATTCTTATGATTGCTTACAGTGTCCATACAGTCACATGGTTGGGATTTAGGCACTTGGCACATATTTAAGACCCAAAGGTGCTTTATTTCAGGAGACAACTGGACTTTCTTGTTTTTTCTCCTGAAGACGTTTTGCTTCTTATCCAAGAAGCTCCTTCAGTTCTGACAGGATAGTGGGGGAATGGAATCCTGTCAGAGCTGAAGAAGCTTCTTGGATGAGAAGCGAAACGTCTTCAAGAGAAAAAACAAGAAAGTCCAGTTGTCTCCTGAAAAAAAGTACCTTTGGGGCAACCGTGACCTGGATGACTGAGAATCTCTATAGATTTTCACATATTTAAGACATTTGTAGCATCTCTGTGTCAGGTGATCATCACTTGCAACCTTCCCAGGGTCCTTCCAACAAAGTTTAATGGGGAAGTTGAATTTGTTTAACAACTACAGTGTTTTGCATAACAACTGTGTCAAAAAGGTAATAAAATCAGGCACGACTCATTTAATGATGGAATCATTCAGCGAAGGAAGTTCTGGCCCAACTATGATTGTTAAGTCGAGGACTGTCTACATAAGTCTAGCAAATACTATTAAATAGGAAAACCGTCATAGAAATCTTTACAAGATTAGGAGCCAAAACATAGCTCTAGGTATTCCGTCAGTATTTCTCCCTGCTTCCCATTATCTAGCATTTCTCTTCCAGAAGTTGAGGTGTAGGAAAAGAGTCAGAGAGGAACACTAATTGTTGATGGAGTTCAAAGACCAGTCATTTCCAGTATGTCAAGATGTCTGACTGCCTGGGCAGCGCTTATTCTTTTTATATGATTTTTACAAGCAGACAAAGGCAACATAGATACAGCATTAGGATTGGTGAAACCCCCACCAATCCTTAAGAATAGTGGTGATGTTAACAGATGAGATCATTGTACCAGTCCGGGACTTACCAGCCGGGGACATGGAGTGAGATCATGTAGGTAAAGAGGCCCATGTAGGTATTAAGGAACAGCAGTGTGCTGCTTGCAGCCCCCTACAGGATCTACATCTCTACTACAAATTGTGGTAATGTTTTTCCTTATTTATTTCAGATTTTTGTTCCTGTGTCACAGAGGAGAGAGTAGATGCTGGTGAACATGAATTGCTGATCAAAAGTTTTTGATACAGTGCTTTAAAATCAACTGCTCTAGTATGGCATAAGCTCTCATTGACCACAATCCAATTCATTAGATTCATTGAGGGAGTAACCAAAAATCATATACTACTCTGTGCATCTATAGAAGGAGTTTGTGGTTTACTAGAGTTATGCAGTTCTATTATTAATCTTTAAAAGGTTTGTGAGGCACTTTGCTCAATAGTCTTAATATGTTGGTTTTTGTAATCTATAAATAGAGAAGCCTGTTTTGCTACACTATTTACAGCGGGTATAGCAACTACCAGTATGAATATTCAGACACAACTTGCTGCAATTTGCTCAGTAGCCACTAAATGGCGCTATTCATTAATGTTGATTTTTCTTCTTCTCAGTGTATGAAGATCTGTTCGTACCCTTGCGAATCCACTGTCCATCTGCCGTGAGCATCAAGAATAGAGCTGGGAAGACCCCCGGAGATCTCTTGAATACAACAACAGAAGAGAAATGGGTATGAGTAATCCACCAGTAAGGGTGTCACTAGGAAGAGATGGTCGAAACTTAAAAGGAATGAAAACTTAATGGAGAGTGGGAGAGAGAAAGAGAGAGAGAAAAGAAAGAGAAAAAGATCCATATCGTTTATTTTAATCATTATTACTTTCCTGTTTTGTAATCTAGAACACTAAAAATCTCCACAGACCATTCTCATCCTAGACATTCATATTTCGAACTGTTACCATCAGGGAGGTGTTATAAGTGTCTTAAAATGAGGACTAATAGATTGAGAAACAGTTTCTTTTCCAAGGCAGTAATAATCTTGAATCAAGCAGTGCATTTGTGATTATTATTATTATTATTATTATTATTATTATTATTATTATTATTATCATCTCTGTAGTGTGATTGTGATGTATTTGGGGCACTGTGCTGGAGTAGCTTTCAAATTTCATTGTATTCGTGGAATGTAATGACAAGGTATTCTATTCTAATAGTGTTTTAGGATAATCACGGTTGTATAATCTTTGTTATGTTTCTTATTGATGAAGAGGGAGGAAAGGGGAAGGAGGAAAGGAAAAGGAAAGGAAAGAGAAAAGAGAAGTGAAGGGATCATTAACTGATTCCATTTTGTCTTCTTCTCTCAGACAAAGAGTGACATGTTTTAATTCTCCACAGTGCCCCGAGGAAACGATTGAGGAAAATGAGGCGGATTGTGAGGCTGAGAGAGAGTGGAGGTCCAAGCTTCTCAATGAATGTGAGGACGAGTTCCAAGAGACCCCATGGCAGTATGAAGGTAAAGCTAGACTTTCCTTAGCAGTGAAGATCCCACAGTCCATGAGGTGGTCTTCCCTGTGGATTTCTGAGCCATGATCATGACAGATGAGTTTGTGGAGTTGTCACTAAGAAGGGCTAGCGCGGTGGTTAGAATGCAGTATTGCCAGCTGACTCTGCCCAAAACCAGGAGTTCGATCCTGACCGGCTCAAGGTTGACTCATCATTCCATCCTTTCAAGGTCGATAAAATGAGGACCCAGATTGTTGGGGGTAATATGCTGACGCTGTAAACCGCTTAAAGAGGGCTGCAAAGACTATGAAGTGGCATATAAGTGCTGTTGCTATTGCCACTTAGACCAAGTTGTCAGGCCCCCTAGACTTTTCCTAAAAAAATTAAATAATTCTCTCAATAAGTTTGACCAGAGATTCTTCCTTGTTTTCATTTACTGAAGCACCCTTTTTGCTGTTATTTAAGCCATTTGGGGCTTTGGAAGCTCCTTTGTTCTACCATCTTAAAAAGTAAGGGTGTTGTGGCATCAACTAGATTTGAAAGGGAGCTTCACGGAGCATGATGCACCCTCCGACTTATTTCCTCGTTCTTTTCCAGAAGATTTCTCCACTGGTCCCAACTCAGAAACGTTTGAGGAATGGACTGATCGCATACACCGAGAATATGGGCAAAAACGTAGGCGAGAAGAGGAACGGCGTCACCAGAGGCCTAGAAAAGAAGCTCCGAAGTCTTCCGTTCAACTCCAGTGCTTCCTGGAGCAAGAGCATCTGGAGTACCTAAAACGTGCCCAAGCCAAGGAGGAAGAAGTCCAGGCAGCCAAGAGAAGACGTTATGAGGAAGGCTGCAGTCATGTCTTCTCCTCAGATAGTTCACCACATCCATTGTGTTACAAGGACATTCCCTGGCCAAGCTCATCTGGGACTCCTGAGGAAATGGCCGCAGCAGCCCTTCGTGGGGTAGATCCTTCAGACAAAGGCGCTTACCGGCGCTTCCTCCGGCGTCAGCAGGCTTTGTGGCACCCGGATAAGTTTGCGCAACGTTGCGGCACACGCTTGGCCGAACAGGATCGCCGTCGGATCTTGGACACTGTCACGGCGTTGTCCCAAGCTTTCAATCGCTTGGCTGAAGCAGCCAAATAAACCTCGACATCAGCATTTCTCAGCCTCAGATACCTCAGGATGCGTAGACTTCAACTCCCAGAATTCCTCAGCCGGCATGCCGGCTGGGGAATTCTGGGAGTTGAAGTCCACGCATCTCAAAGTGCCTGAGGTCGAAAAACACTGGCCTACATGTCTGAAATGTGTTTAGGATACTTGAACAGAGGGAAGATGTCCTGTTTTTTTGTCCTGTTTATAAAACAAAACTATAAACTGTTGCTTTTGAATGTCTTTGGTTGGTCTAGAGAAGACTGAGTAATTTCAGTAGATTTTTTTTTTAAAAAAAGATTCTTCGTTGAGGGCAATTATGTGTGAACACCACCTCCCATGGTTGAGTAAACCAGTAAATCATATGTAAACCAGATCAATATGGCTTTGTTAAAAATCATTTTAAAAATATGGCTTTGTACATTTATCCAGCTCCTGTCTTCTCCACATGGATATCTTGGTTTGAATCTCAACCAGTGAAAATGTGATGCCAACTAGCTGTGTTGGCATTTGAACTTGCAAACCACAGTTGCCAAGTTCCTTATTTTCCAGGAGAGATCTGAGTTAGAGAACGTCATTTGAAGCCCAATAGTTTAGCTTCCTCACGCAATGAGAGCCCCTGTAGATAGTCCAGGCAGGGAAATCAGCACCACAGAAAGGCTAAAAGTTCATTTGTTCCAATTGGCTATCCAGGAAGTCCTTGAGTTATGACCGTAGCGGAGCCTGCCTATGACAGTTGTAACTCCTGACGGTTGTAAAACCAATTTTACGACCTTTTCTGCGGCAATGGTTAAGCAAGTCGGGACATTTTTTTCAGCAAATCGACAGTTGTTGATTGAACCAGTGGTTCATTGTGGGCATGATTTTGTAGCATAATCATAAGTTAAATGCTCTTTTGAGCAAAATTGTCATAAAACATGATCATGTGATGATGGGACGCTGCAAATGGCCATAAACGCGGTTCAAATTGCCAAGTGCCCAAGGTGTGCTCATGTGACCACTTAGAACTTAGACTTAGAAAAACTTTATCGTCACTTTGTGCACTCATCGGCATACATTAAAGTGAAATTTTGTTGCATACAGATCTCAAAGGGTCACCACTTCCAATATACACTACATAAACATGACAAAATAAATAAATAAATACACAATTATGTGTATGCCCATATATATTATATGACACAGAGAAACAACACCATCTTGTCTGGATCTATATGGTAAGAAAAATATTGCGAGTTTACCAGACAGCTAGCATAGGGTGCAAAGCTGTTACAGAACCTGGTAGTCCTGCTTGAAATACTAAATGAAAGGCAAGGATTACCTGTAATAAAGATGGCATTGATGGAGATATCCAGGATATGCCTACCACTAGAGCTTCTCTCACATCTTCAGGGTAGGAATACAGCCTTGTCTTTGATCCCCAAACCTTCCATGGTGCCCGTTCTGTTGCTGTTCACACAACCCACCTGGCCACACACACAGATTACCACAATTCTGAGGCAAGCTTCTAATTTGTGCACTAGCTCTTGTCCTGGATGTGGCTGAATTACCAAGCTTTCTCCTGGGTCTGAATTCATGGTGCCTTTCTAGATTTCAAGAGTTACACAAATCGTTAGATTCCTGATGCCGTGAATATTTTACCATTATGCAGAGTCTGTAGAGCAGAGGTCTCATTCTCGCGGCCCGCGGGCCAATTGCGGCCCGCAGGACGATATCCTGTGGCCCCCACCGTGATATGAAAGTATAATATTAGTGTATAATATAAATATAAAGTATAATATAAAGTATACCGTATTTATCGGCGTATAACACGCACAGGCGTATAACACGCATCTTCATTTTAAGAGGGAAATTTCAGGAAAAAAAATTAAATTTCTAAATAAAAACTTTGAAGCAAAATAAGGGTAGCTCAGAACTTTTTTTTTTATTAATATTATTACCACTTATAAGGTAAATCAGTGGTCCCCAACCTTTTTTGTACCAGGGACCGGTTTCAAGCAGAAAATTTTTGCAAGGACCGGGGGGGGGGGG